TATGCTACAGATTGGGGTTTTTTTCCCTGATGGGCTCAGCCAACCTGGAGACAAATTGGCTTCAGAAGTACAAGGTAAAATATTCTAGCTGATGCAACTGCTCAGCTTACATGCCTCGATGAAGTTTTTTTGTCCAGTATGTTTAAGGGTGGTTCTCCCCCATAAAATGACCAATTCAAAACTGAGCACCTGCAAAATGAACAAGCAAAACCAGAGCTTAATAATTCTATTTCTAATCCTTCTCAGGTAGAATCCTTAAGAAATTTTGTAATAGTTAAAGATAAAACAATTCTGGACTGAACTTTTTTTAAACTGACTACTTCCTCTTAAATTCTGTGTGTAACAGTTCCTGTAGTCTTATCTGATAAGTTGTTGTGGGGTTTCTTAAGTACAAAATACATTTTAACTTCCTGTATTGAGTGCTTCCAGCTCCGTTTAGCATAACAATGAGTTTAAATCTACTTAAATCTGTCACATACTCTAATGATGTTACTAAAGTGAGTGCCATTAACATAACTTTTAAAGGCAGGAACCTTGTCCAATTCTGCCTGCAGAGACAACCAGCTTTCACTCACGTTATCAGCAGGACTTGTTTGCTTAAGCGAAAGTGGAACCAGGGATCTTCACTGGGTTTGTTTTTCAGAATGAGGCACATACAAGCAATTCAGGTTTGCTGAGCTGTGCAGGCCACGCGCACGGAAACGTGCCACAAAAGGAGGCAAAATATGAAAAAATTGCAGGAAAAACTGTAAACAAAACCTCATGCTGATTTACAGTGGAGTGTTATGGGAATGTTACAGAAACTTCAGCCTTATGAAAGATACAGTCCCATGCATATCAAACTGGGCAAGGGTGGACAGACAGGGTGCTAGAAAATGTGTGGAGCCTTCCACCAATGGAGGAGAGACACACTGTCCTGTCTAAAGCCTCTGTCTGTTCAAGTGGTAACAGCACCTTGGCTCCCAACTCCTTAAATTTAAGCGCTGCTTCTCATTATTCTTCCCATCATAGTTTTATAAGTTAAAATTAGTAGTGTTCAGAAGGGCAACATTACCTGCTTCTATGAATACAAACACACTCTTCTCCCTTCCTTGACAGGGAGTCCAATTCTGGTTTTGCATTACAGAGGAGAGTTTACCCGGTGCCTGAGATATTACCCAACTCTCTTAAGGCGGTCAGCCCCCCAGCCTCTCGTCGCCTTGCAGAAACCAATCCCTTGGTGAAATGGTGAGTCTCGGACTGAGCTATTTGATAAGCACAAAGTCTCCGCAGTTTCTCCCGGTGAAAGTGCTGGTTCAGGACCATATGTGGTTAGATGCAATTGAGGCACTCCTCAGTTAGCTTGCTTACAGCTCAGCACCCTTGTGTCAAAAGACGCACAGCCAGCCAGGAAGGTGTTATTTTGGTTATGACAGACGGACTCAGATCCAATAATGTAAATTCCCAAAAGGTTCTTTATCAAATAGGTTAAAAAAAATGTAAATAATTTATAGGAAAGGGAAAAAAGAATGGGTTTCATTTCCTTATACAGTACTAAACTGTCACATGGTGATATAAACTGTGCACTCCAAAACCATTACAGTTCACACTGTTATGGCTTGCTCATGAGGCCGTAGTCCATGAAATTATCAGCCAAACTACATCAGTAAACTCTTCCTGATAGCATAACTTGCCTTCAGCATTTTTCTTTTAAGCTCTAGACTTCTGCTTAGATTTATTTGCTCTGACAATGCTGTTTAGTTACTACTTTGTAAAGTTAGATATTAGCAATGCCAGAAGAGCTGGAAACTTCACAAAATGGTGGCCCCTTCAGAAGACTGCACAGATTTAATCGTTAGTTGATATTATTCAACAGAAACACAGCACAGCATGGGGGTGCTTAGATCCTTACTAACTGCACTGGGATTTTATCTGAAGTAAGAAGAAGGTCAAAACACAAAGCAAGTTTTTCACCATCTGAGCTAGGTTTTCTCTAAATGCTAATCTCCAACTGTCTTGAATGTTAATCCATGGCCACGATTAAACATATTTTGTTTATCTGTCCAAAGACAGTAAGTTGGAATAATTGCTTAGCCCTCAAACTACAGCAGAAGCACGTACTAACAGATACTCTATGATAAAGCTCATCACTTTTTTGGCATCAACAACCAAAGATTAAGTGCTCAGCTTTCCTGGATTTTGCTACAAGTATAACAAGCTAAAAAGTTTCACAGCTGAGTCCAGTAAAGAGAAATGCAGCAGAGGCTTTGTGCATTCCTATTGAATAGTTTCATGTTATAGTTTTGCTCATGGGTTTTAATTGCTGGATCACTGCCATTTCTGTAAACAGTATATTTTTTTCTAAACAAGAAGTGTTCAACAATGTTCATGGAGTTTCAGAACAGCACCTTTGACACCACACTTTAAGCAATACTTCTGCATGTTTGTGACGAGGGTATTTTGTTTTCATCTGTTTTGAAGTTAGCTTTCCCTTCTGTGACAGTGTCTCTCTCAGCCTGTATTCTCTAGCTAACTTGCAAACTGAAATGGATTTTAAGTGGGGAATAAAAAGGAAACCTGTGACTATTTCATGTTCAGCTTCTGCTTATCAATTTCATAATGCAGTGAGAATGAATTGTCACAACCGGTCAAAAGCCCTTCAAAGAAAAATAACAAAAAATCATGTTCATACAGCCACCACATATGTATTAAAAAAAAAAAAATTTAAAAAACCCTTATTTATGGATACTTATCCATGCTCTATGGTAAAACAATAATGCTGGCAGGGTATCATTCTCCCACTGCTTCCAACCAATACATTTAACGTGCTTACTAGAGAAGAGAAAGCACAGTGTCAAATGCCTGGACTCCTAAATGAAACTCCAGTTAGATTCAGTGCTCTTCAGGAAGCTGTCAACAATATTCAAGCCTCTAAAAGCTCCAGGAGCTGTCAAATCACCAACACCAACTGTTTTTGTTTGATCCTCTGTCCCAACAAATGAGACTGATGCAGGTAAGGCTGAAGTCAGTTGATGTGTTTCCTATCAGAAAGGCTTTCTTGTGCTCTTTCATTTATGAGCAAAAGCATTTTCCACAGCCACAACCTAAGAGTCTTTTTATGGACAGCAATACGCAGTAAACCAAGTGTTGAAATGTCTATTCCAGCTGCGCTCCATTAAATAAAACCCTAAACAACACAGGAGTTGGGTCACAGTTTAAAGGAGCAGACAATGCATTTAAGCTGTAGAATAGGGTACTTGAAGTTTGCTTTTTCTGTGCAATTCCTGTCAGTGCTAAGATGTTATCTTAAAACAAGGTGCTGCCATTAAGCACGTCTTTTCTTGCTCTACAGCTGCGTTATGCGCAAATCTGGGATTTTTCACAAGTGCCACAAGAAGGTGGATCCAGGCTTGTGCAAACACCGTCTGCCAAATCTTATCAGAAAAGCTTCCCCCACCCTGTCCACAAAAAAGTGAAGGTGACTGAAAGCTCCTGGGAGGTACAGAAGAGCCAGACTGGCACTGCAACTAGCCGGAGACTGCCCAAAAATACCTTGGCCAAGAATGGGGGATAAGGGGACAGCCTACAGGACATGCCACTCTTCTGCATGTTGGAATTACAGACTCTTCAAGCTTAGCTCTTCAGAAATCTCAAGCGATTGTACTCTTGCTGCTTCCTCAAAGAGCAAGAAGAGTGGAGAAACCTGACTCCTTGGAAGGGACCACTCTGCAGGTCAGTGACCCGTGTTGGAAGGGAAACTCCCAATGCAAATGTCTTTATTCCTTTATGTAATTCTGTCTCGACATAGACATTTTTAAATGGAGTATCCTTGGAAACTTAATATAATCAATTGGGGTTAAACATTCAGCTCTTATAAGCGTATCACTAGTGGCTTCACTGTTGCATCACTTTGCGCTACTGGAATAACTGATTGATTGTTTTAAGTATTTGAAATGGCACAGAATGAGATTTTTAAAAAGGAGTAACACATTGGGTGTACTATCTTTTCACAAAGATAAATGTCACTGCATTAAAGGGTTGATTATATCTCTTTAGAATGTGCAAGGAAGCTTCTGAAATTACATTTATTTTAAGTGACAAGAAGGAAAATAAGTCATTTCATTATGACGTTAGCTTCCACTAAAACCACGCTATCCAAAGGAAGTGGTAAATTCATGACTGCATAATATCCTGTATGTAAGTAGCATCTTTTCTTTATTGAGAGAGGAAAAAAAAAAAAGGAAGGGGAAATGAATTATAGTGGGATCTCTCTCAGAAAAAGGATTTAATTATTGGTTTTAACAGTAAGCTTTTTTCCCTTGTGCTGCTTACGTGCAGCAGCAGCAGCACTCTTAACCTCACATAAAACACACAGCCTTTAGTTTAAGATGAGGCAAACCAATTAAGTCCCCATAAGCAAAGCTGTCGTCTTGACACATGGCTAAAATACTGTCCAGACACTGATCACAACCCAAATGTTCCTCTTGCTTTGATCCCTTCTTGCGAATCAGAGTAATTGGTTAAATAGCCCCATCTCACAGATGGGAGTCTCTCATGGCATGCAGGGAAAAAAAGGCAACTCAAAGTCTTACCATTTACTAGGAAAACAAGTGGTTGAAGTCCATGCTAAAGTACGTATTTAGAATGCTTCTCTGTATAGGAAGATTTGTGCAATTCATAAATTTCACTCATTCCTAAAGATTTTAACCAGTTGTTCTCAACATTCTTGGAGTAACAGTTTCAATTTTTTTCAGACTAAACCTATAGCAGCCATTCCTCAATGTATTGCCCTTAAACACACCGCACTCATATGGAGCCCCCAAAATCCATACGAGGTCTGAACATGAATAATTGCAGGAGTGGCAGGCAATGTTAATTTACAGAACTGCATCTCGAAGATAAGGAGAGCTTCATATATTGGAATTACTGATTTAGAAATCAATTCTGCCTGAAGAAGTAAGTGGGAGTGGAGAATATGCTGTAGTCTTGAGGAAATGTTAAGCTTATTTCCTGATACTCACAGAATTGATTATCCCCTTAAGTGCTTGGAATCCTCCAGTGACAGGGAAGACTTGCTCTTTCGTGTCAGCAATTTTTTCAAGCTTTGGAGAGAAAACACGTGCAAACACGTCAACCATTTGGCCAACTAAATTCATCACATTGCTTCTCAGCCTTAAAATGTAAATGGATGTCTAAAAACAACTCCCATCCATTCTGCAAAGAGAAGGAAAATTTTCAGTTCCCTCATAGCTAACTATGTCTCTTCTAAATTGGAGGACTTACTACAACCTACTGCAGCTAACAAAATGGTACAGTGGCTAGCCATCGTGTCAAACCACCACACTAAAGAAACCTTTTAGGGCCTGTATCTTGGCAGTGATTTTGCAACTCTTTCCAGAATTACCTTCCCTGTTCGCTCTTCCTTCCATTAAAAAGCCTTCCTATGTGTCTTCTATCTAAAGGGTCTTTTGTATGCTTCTCCATTTAAGTCACTTTCATGGTACAAGAGTAGCTACAGCCTTGATTAGGACATAGCAGCTCTGGAAGCTTTCAGTCAATGAAAGACATGGACCCTTCTTTCCTTTTCTTATCCCAAGGCTGTTAATACGCTCTGCTTGAAGTTTGTCTATAGCTACTCTGTTCACACAACCAGTAGCCTAATCTGGTTACCATCACAAAGAAAGGGGGTTTGCCTGCATCCTTTCCTGCTGGCAGCTACTGTTAGCAAGGGTCTTTCCGACAGGTCTGCTCGGCAATAAGTGACACCCACGCATTCTATCTGTGTCTATGTACACATCTGAGTGTCTGCTTCCTGAGACAGAGAATACATTATACTGCCTGATGTAAATAAAATTAATTCATATATTACTTAACATTAACTAACTGTATAAACCCTGTGACAAGGTACTGCCTAGTAATCTAAAATGGCAGCATTCTTACCTGTTCTTGTACAAAATCAAGGACGCCAACACAGTAAACTCTAGCCCCCAGCTCTCGGGATTTCTTTGCCTGCCCCAGAATAGAACAGAGGAATAAGCTTTTTTTCATTCAACAGAAAAGGAACAAACTCTTCAGAACAGAACATGCATTTTCACCTAGCACTCACCTCTTTCTCTGCGTACAAGGGAATCTGACCATCTAGCTTGCCATCTGTCAATGCAATGATGATACTAGAAAACCTTGAGGCTCCTTGCTTTGCAATTTGCATGTTGGCCTGTAAACGGAAAATATTTATCCAGCTTAAAATTACACCTGAACTTTTAACCAAGATGCATCTTTGAAGCGAACATAGCATCTGAAACAACACTGAGCCTCATCTTCAAACCCCTCTCTTGCAACAGTCCTCTGGCTCCTTTTTACTCATTACTAACAAGATATTCATCAGTACCTTCCAGTCAGCAGCAAGCCCATCTCCAAAGTGCTGGGGTCACAAACTGATCAACCCTTGGAAACACTCCTTGATTATTTCAGGGTGGATACTCTGTGAGTTGTGCAGCTCACTTCTCTTTAGATCCACCATAAGGTTTCCTTTGCTACTTCCCAGATTGCAAATGCCAGTCAGTATGTTTGAAGATAGAAGAACAGCTTAAAACTCAATTATTTTTTTAAATGGCAAGCTTCTGTTTGCCTAGCTTTTCAGCCTGCAGATCACAATTACAAACTTGGCTTCGCAGGCATAAAGGAAGGAAATTAGTTTCTCTCCGTAATGGTGAAAGCTTAGATCCTCACCTTCAGGGCCCAAGTCTATCAGCAAACTGGCAAAGTATACTGTAACTGTGTGTCTCAAGAAAACAGAAGCAGTTGGGAACTCTGTAATTAAGATAGTCCAACATTAAGACCATTTGCCTTGAAAATGCTGATCTGCGCAGTAAACTCTCCATAAGCACGTGCTCTGGAAGGCACTATCACACTCGCAGCCCTGCAAAGCCATGTAGTACCATGTACTCATTGGCATGCTGCATTAGCTGTTTGAGTCACGACAAAGAACCACTCCCTACTGCAAAGGATCCAGTCAAAGAAATTCCATATGGCAATTTTGTATGATGGCCAATCTTCTGCATGGGGTTTGCACGGTATCTGGGCAATCTTGGGACCACTTAGGAAACCAAAAAGATTTGAGTGCAAGAGGCTGAGACGTACAATCAATCCATTTATGTTACAGGTTGTTGTTGTTATCCAAAGAGTGAGAACAGAGGCTATTTTGTTTGGAAGAAGATGAGTAAAGCCTACCTGTTTTAATCCTTCGTGTATGTATGTGTCACCTGCTGGTTTTACCTCCTTCAAATCCTTAAGACCCTTCTTGATTTTCTCTCTGAAAAGAAAAAGGTAAAAGACTGTTAGCATAATCTGAAGTGGAGAAAGCGGTTAGTTTATTGATGGAAAAATTATTTTGTCTTAAAGGAGGTCTGAAATTAAAATCTGTAATATATATCATTTAGCTGAGATACCATGTGGAGGCACATTTTATATTCACAACAGAAGCGGCACTGTGGCAACAGATATTTTAAACCTAAATAACACAATATGCCTCAGTGAGTCAAAAAGCCAGATTCAAGTAAAATATTTCAGACAGAGCAGATATTGCAAAGACTCAGCATTAAAATAGTCCAACCGGAATTATGTTGCATTAAGTCTACTTTGCTCAATTAAACCAACTTCACTTCCAATCATGCTGCAGTTAAAAAAGAAATCCCCTAAAACAGCAGTTCCACTTGTAGAGAAATCTTCCTGCATACCAATATGCAGGTATTTAATGGGGTAGGACAGAAGAGCAATAATTAAAAATCTTCTTCCTTAAAAAATGCTGAATTTGCAAGGCACCTCTTACATCCAAGGAAAGGGACTAGAATTAAGGATAGTTTTAATTTTTTTGTCTGTTACTACCTTTCTGTCTGACCTTTGACAAGACATCACTCTTGCACAGGTTAAAGTTCACTTATATTTAACAGGAGGATAACGTTGTGCCATTATTTCTCATGGGTCTTTAAATAAATCCATCACTGACTGCGAGATGCTCAGCTAACTATGACGATAAGACCGGAGAAGCTGGCTGGTAGTACGAAAGGAATGATTTCCAGTTAAATCTGTATAAGTGCGGGGGGGAAAAAAGGCATAGAGACTTTACTGAAAGAATTAAATCTTGGAGTTCTTAATTCTTATACAAACAAAGTTCCAGTGAAGCTCAGAGAGAGCTGCCCTAGGAAAGGACAAGCAAAAAGTAAGCAGAGACAAAATTTGGGCCAGAATATATAGAACACTATAACAAATATAGGTGACAAAGAGGAAACCAGCAGGGGTGAGGAGATGGAGAGAAAATACATTGCAGGATGCGTGAAAGCTTTCCTTAGGGCAGACAAAATGAGAAAGAATGCATATGCTGCTCTGCCTGAATGCCACCCACAAGTCATTTGTTCCACTCATGGGCTTCCTCTATGTTTAGAAACTCTGTTCCAAAGTACAATCCATCGCTGTAATAAGCTCCCAATCACAGGACCAACTGATACGATTTGGGGTGGGGGGAGAGGGAAGCAAAAATTAAAAAAGGGAAATGTGGCATTGAATATATGGAAGAGAACAAGTTATGTAAGAGAATACAATCTGTTTGATCCAAATATTTTATATTCAGCCTCTATAGAAACAACTTGAAACTGATTATGTATGAACGCAGATTATAAACCACATACCTAGTGCTTGCCAGAAATGAGTGGCAGCACATCACAGGCGTTAGTGTTCTGCTGCCAAGAAACAAGCAGCAAGTGAAGTCCCAGTTTTCTGAAACAGATTTCATTTTGCAAAAATAGCTTTTGTACAACCGGTTCAGTTCTATTTATCTAAAATGTCTTGTGACCCGGTCACACAGAAATCTCTGGTGTTTCCAGGCCTCTGACTACAAGGGGTTCCAGGAAAATCTTTGGCAGCATGAGCTTTTTTGGCTGCATGTAACCA